TTCAAACTGTGTGTTGTCACACAACTCTGGTGGGTTATGATCCCACACAGACCAATCATTACATTCTGGGGGATCAGAAAGAACAAATGGGTCTATGTCATCAGCAGCAGAAGGTACTACATACTCTGTGACATCACATAACTCTGGGTTATGATCACACACAGAGCCAGAAATAACTTCCTGCTCTGTAACAACATCACACAACCCTTTATTAAGGACGCCACCACTGCATTCTACACTAGCACTGGAATCTAATACAGGCTCTGCAGTGATATCATGCCTTTCATCAACACTACACTTTGCTTTAGCCCTAGCTCGTTTTTCTTTCATCAATTTTCTAAGCTTTTTAGCAGATACTTTCCCCTTAAGTTAGGCATGACTTATAACAGCTATTTATATATATATTATACAGTAAGAGAAAATCAACGTGGTGTTAGAGTCAATTTTCAGTAGTAATTATCAATAACTTGATTACTGTTATCAATTATAGTTATATTAAAGCATATCTTTGAAAATCTTGTTAATGACCAGCACTTTAAGAATAATTCAAGATCAGCTTAAACAGTTTCACTTTCAAGATCACTTACATCAGTCAGTAAGAGTAGCACCGTCCACCATAAGATAGCACGAGTTCTACAATCTGAGGATGCGCAAATCACACCCCTTATAGCCACGCCCAATTCAATAATTATAACAATTCACAATTATTAGTTAGATATCAGTAAATTACAGATACAAATTATAGACGACATACAACACAGTAAGACTTGGGCAGATAAGAAGAGTGTTCTTTTAATTGCTGAAGGTTACCTGTATAAAACATCATGCATCATAACTAAAGAAAACAATAATTTTACCTACCTTGACTTTCATTTTTAAATTTTACATCCGATTAATTAGAACTGCAGATCTGAGCATGCGCGACCACACCCAAATTTTGGAGCACATGCTTCTTTAATTAACAAAATGGCAGCATGTAGCTAAGATGGTATAATCCAGCAGTCATAGTATCACTTTTTCCTTTCTTGAAGATTAGTTTGATGGGACATGGACCTGCGCATAGACTGTTGGAGTAGATTGGTGTAAGAATTATCCTTGTAGCATCAACTAATACCAAGATATACACTGACAACTGGATTGACAGGACTTGATGAAAATGATGATGAAGATGAAAAAAGGTGGCTGAACAAAACGGCCCGTTTGCCGATATTTGAATTTCCTCTTAGACAGGGCCTAGAGCCACGCTAGTGGTACCATTGGAGTCCTCTGGTCAAGATTAGGTCCTCTATAAAGTCTGGTAAGCATAGGAGCTCGTTTTCCCGGTATAGCAAGGCTGCAAAAGTCGTTGCAGCCATTTTGTTTGGGGGTGAATCCTACTTAGTAACGCTACCGTGTTACTAATGAAAAAAAATGAAACGAAAAGGACATAAAAAGACAATGGTTTAAAATGATTATATTGATATTAATAAAGTAATGGATACCATGTTTATATTGCTAATTTCTCTTGCTTTTTGTTTTAGAATGTTTCTCCTCTAAAGAATACGCTTATTACCAGACACACAGTAACATTATCAAATATAATGAAATTATTTTATGTTATATTTACTAGTACTTATAAAAAAAAGGAAATTAATCCTACAAAAATACTTTAATAAAAAATGACTGAAATTAATCCTACAAAAATACTACAATAAAAAAAATGATTGGCCCACTGAATTACATGTGGATATTGACATAACTAAAAGCACATAAAAGAATAAGACAAAGATTTAAAATGATTATATTGCTATTAATAAAGTAATTGATATGATGTTTATATTGTTAATTTTTCTTGTTATTTCTTTTAGAATGTTTCTCCTCTTATTTATGATGATATAAGTAAAGAATATGCATATTGGTGTCAACAGAGAATAGAGATAGTATTAAGAGTAAGGTTATGTATTTGGAGATTATTTTACTCATTATTATTAGTGCTATTATGGGATTAACAAATACATCATCACAGTGACTCACACAGGTGTCAAATAAAACACATGGAAAGAGGAAGGTTAAAAGAGGTATGTGTTTGTACAAGTATTCTGTATTACTATTAACAAAGCAAAATGATGCAATGTTAATTTCCTTTTTATTTCTTTTAGAATATTTTTCCTCTATCTTTATGACACAAAATAAAAGCAGCAAAAACAATATAACATGTCCAAGAGTAAGGCTATGTATTTTGAAATAATTCTATTCTTATTATTAGTGCCATTACAATGAAAATTGCACACACTAGTGTATCACAGTGACTCACACAGGAGTAAAATGAAACACAAGGTTAAAAGTGATATGTTTGTATCAAGGTTAAAAGTGATATGTTTGTATTTAAATATTCTGTATTATCTATTAGGAAAGCAAAATGTTAATTTCCTTTTAATTTCTTTTAGAATATTTTTCCTCTAACTTTATGATAGTACAATTAAAGAATATGTGACCATAATTGACAAAAGGGACCTTGTGGCGGGTAGTGAAATTTGTCTTTCTAGCCTAAGAAATCCAAGTTCCTGAGCCCCATTTATCATAAAATTACTCCACAGGATGCAAAAAGTTATTATGAAACTTTTAGAAACAATGATTGTCTAACAAAGCACTCACAGGTTCATATTTTCCATTATAACAATCAATTTTAAAATCCGCCATAAGGGCCCTTTTGTCAATTATGGTCACATATGCATATTCTCATCATACAACCTACAATTATACAGTAATTTAAAAATAGATTGTGGTAAACATTCACTTATTCTTTATAGATATTGGAACTGATATTACTTTTACAATTTCTTTGGCAATTTTTCTAGTCCCATACATTTCAAAGTTATCTTTCTATCTTAATTGCCCTTAAAATGACATTCCCTTTAGAAATGGAACTTGACCTTTCTCTTGCACAAACAGAACATCATGTTGCCACTTACAATTGGTAAACAGCATTAAATTAATCATGTCACATGTTTATGTACTTTATTAGTGCACTTCAAATTATGTACCTAGTCAACCAAACATAATAGGAACTACAAACCTTAAAAAGTAGCATATATATGATAATACTCCAAAAAAACTACATGTATTTCTCTCCTTAGAAAAAATAACAGCGGTCATCAATATTAAATTTTCAAAGCAGCAAACAATACACCTCAAAAAGGAGTATTTTTGTCACAAATAAAAGCAAGACATTGCATAATTTACCACATTACATTAAGTATCTTTTCCTAATACTACTGTCACTGTCTCTTTCTCTTTGTACTAGACCATCACAAAATTCTCATATTTCATTGCACTAACCATCAATACTCATGTCAAACTATAAGTCGTTCTAAATTATGAAGCTCAACAAAGTTAGTCTATTGCTATAAATGCTGAAATGCCAACAGCTCTAATTTCAGAAAAAAATTTGAGCATAACATTGAAATAAATTAATAGTACATTCTTAAAAAGTACTGTCGAAGTTCTTTTAATTTTAAACTTATTGTAACACATTTCTTCTTTTAGAAAAAGTAATAGTGGTCATCATTGTTTCTTCATCATAAAACAGTCAAAA